AGAATTATGCTTTGCGTGAGTCAAGGTCATTCTAACCGCTGATAGCCTGATGCAGTCCATTTAATTTTTTTGGAGATCAGAGGTGAGTCTTTAAACAAAAGTGCGATGTCTTGTTGTTCCTTCGTAGGACTTTACTGTTGTGTCTATGCGAATGTTATGAATTCTGCAAGAATGCAGTTCCTCGTCGGTTGCTACTATGGTGCAGAGAGCGAAACTAGCTGCTATAATCAAAAATACTGATTTGCCATTTGCTGCAAAAAAACGCCAAACTGAAGTTATAAATAAACTATCCTTCCAGATAATCGGGGCTTGAGAACTAATAGCAAATTGATACCTGAGGGACATTTTATGCAAGTTGAACGAGAACGAGTTAAATAACCATGAAAATCACAATTAAAGTGGACGAGCACTAAGGAAAGAGAGGCAGGTGGAAGGATATTAAAGTCAGTGAGAATACCGGGGAAATGATAAAAAGCTTCGAGACTAGGAGGCTTAGAACGTTTTCGGCGCGTGGAGGCGAAAAGGTGATAATTCGCGCGCGAGAGAGCAAAGAAGAAAAACCAATCTCAGTGTTCAAGCAGACTCTCAAGGTCATGTTTCACATTATCAAGTGCTTATGAGTCGTGTTTTGCCTGTCGGACGCTAATTTCTACTGAACTGAATCGATCGTTGTTTCGGTCAGCATTTGTGAAATAGCGTGCACAGTCTCTCAAGAGACAATCTACGTATTCCAACAAATCCGTAGTCGGGGAGCCAACAACCACCACTACTTTGAGGGCAATGAATAAGAACCAAATCTTGCTCGAAATCAACGCGGTCATTGCGGCCATGTTTGATTCAAACTGAAGTTACTTTTCAGCTCCATCGTACATGAAGGGCTTTTTGCCATCGGTATAATTCGGTGCCTCTTATACGACGACTTTCTGTAACCCCATATACCACATGCTTGTTTGTAACGCATATATATGGACTTTTTTGTGCGCATATATATGTGCGTTTGTAAGAAAATAGTCATATACTTGGGAATAAAACGCAAGTATACGTGACAAAAAACGCACGTATATCGTGTAGCAGGCATGATTGCAAGTATACGTGGGAAAAAACCGCACGTATATCGTATCATTATTTTGAAACAAATGGCCGACCATAAGTTTGCTGAGTTTAATTTGCTTGAATGAAGACCCTCGCATGGACCAGTTATTACTTAAAGCTACTAAAAAGAAGTAGCTAATTTAGCTAAGTAGTCGGAATCATGGCTTGGCTGCGACGCTTGCAACTGATCTTTTTCTTTTAAGATCTTTAGGTAGGTTGTTTCCGTACAGAAAATGCACTTCTTCTTTGTCATCAGGTATAAGAGCCTTAAGCCTTGTGTTTTTTTAATGAAAATTTGTTGTTTTGCAACCTTATTGAAGCTTTTTTTACTTACTATGCATGATGGAATTGTTGTTTGCTTGTCGCATCTCTTTGCCAGCTTAATGTGGCGTCTATGGTCCTTAAAGTGACCTCAATCGGTAATTAAATCTTATACATAATTGGAAAGAAGTTTTTGCAATAATGTAACTTTAACTTTGTTTGAAGGAAATCTTACTAAAGCGTAGGTTTTTAACAGGTGTTATGCATGTTCAACTTGACAACACAAAGCAAAATTAATCTGCGCGAAACGATCAAGTTTGAAAAACTATGGTTGCTTTGAAACCGATCTTGGGGAAGATTTACTAGATAAAGATTAACTTTTTTTCTGCCCACATATCAACGCCAAAACTTGTACATTGAGGACTTTGTTTACATTTTAGTGATCTGCGAAGCTAAAAGTGTCCGATCGAGCGTGGGTTTTAAAATATCAGCTCGAGTGCGACAAAGTTCAGTGACTTCAAACACATTGTGGGCAAACTTGAATTTCTTTGGGCAGATTATTCAGTACAAAGATATTTTGTTTTTGTGTCCACGGTGGAGCTCCGGACCTTATATATCTAGGAACTTCCTTATATGAACACATTTTGTGAATGCATCCTGAAAAGAATCGGACTTACGCACGCACATTTCCAGTACAGTTCAAGGAAATTAGTAAATGTCGTTAAAGTCAGTTTTACTATGATGTATTCTTCGAGAAAATTAGATAATAAGAAGGTTATAACCCGAATTTCCCGCTTTTTTTCACCTGACCAACACTGACGTCACAAGCTGTTTTTTCCGACAATTTTTCCGACCGCTCTACGAAGATAAGGGCCAAAAAACAGCAATTTTTAATTGCGAATATCTCGGAGATACTTGCTTCAATTGAGCTGAAACTTCATAGTATGTTTATTTGGTTCATATTAAACACATTTTACTAGAATTGAACTAAAATAAAAAATGTCGAATTTTTGGTTCATTTGACCTTTAACTGATAACAATGAATTTAAAGATGGAAGCCGAAGATTGAACGCGGTTGATGATGTAGCATTTGAACCGCTTTCCCTTTTACCCAGCGCCTCAACAAAAGAAAAAGGGAAGCCAGTGATGAAACGGACAACCACCAAAATAAATCGTTGAACTCATCAGGAGTAGAAGAACCTCTATGGCCGGAGAACAGTGTTTCATCACACGAAGACAGTTTCAGTGTAGATGATGATGGGGCTGAAAGTCCGGTTGGTTTTGACGAAAGTTCAAACAGAAAAGAAACAAACAGCGGCGGAAAGGCTGGAACGCTTGAAGGTACATGTACTTCCAAATTGAATAACTTCAATATGAAATAACTTTATTTTGTATTACTTACGGCATGCAAAAACCTTATTTTTGAACTCGGTGGGAAAGTAGAGGAATCGCGGACAATTAGTTGGTCTTAATTCAGTGCTTCAAAAAGAACCAGGCATTCGCCATTTGTACATCTCCCATAATGAACTTTGTTTGCCCTTCCTTCGTCCTTTTCTTCACTAACAAGAACACTTGTGATTTCAGAGCACTTTCTCGGAAATGGGAAGCTGCGTCGCACCGATGATCTCGAAAGCGGGTCGTCACCTTTTGACGTGCCACTCTTCGTGGCAGTGTGGCAGGTGTTTATTTAGGCCGAAGTATTTTTCATGCCGACACGGTACGGTAAAGCAATTTAAACACGTTTCACTTAACTGAATGAGTTAACGGCCACCTTGTTCCACCCGACATCTTTGTTGTTGTTGTTGTTTCTTTTTCCAATTAAACTCAACAATGCCGCAGTGCTAAATGCTGTTTACAATGGCTTTCGAGTTTTTGTAATGCACCTGTCAATGTTTAGCCCCGGGGAGGGGTGGGGGGCGGGCATACCCAGGGGCGCTAAAAGGTGCTGCAATCGGCTCCTTTTTAAGCCCAATACTATTAATACACATTATTAAAAATTAATCGAAGCTATCAGACTAGACAGGAAACACGCTTGCTCTGCGTCAATTAAATATCTACAATTTTTAACTTCTCACTTTTTGTTTGTCTTGTTTTGCAGCTAACACGTAAGCGTTACCTATTAGCTTGAGGTTATCCCTACACTACTGATACAGGATAGCTCGTGCGTCGGCACGGAAACCACATCGGAAATGGTTTTGTTCACTAACAAGAACAGTCGTGATTTCAAAGCACTTTCTCGGACGTTGCAAAGCCCTGTCGCCCCGATGATCTTGAAAGTGGATCGTCACCTTTCGCTGTGCCACTCTTCGTAGCAGTGTGACCGAGAAGTTGATATAGGCCGGATTATTTTTCTTGCCGACATGATTAAGTTGAATTCGATATAGTAAAGACATTGCTTAACACGTTTCACTTAACTGACCTTAACTGAATGAGTTAACAGCCACCTCGTATTCCACCTGTCGTAGTATAGTTGTGTGTGTGTGTTTTTTTTTTTTCAATTAAATTCAACAATGTCGCAGTGCTAAATGTTTGCTAGTCAGTACTGTTGACAACAGCTTTCAGTAGCCAATTTCGGTCGTATCAATTCTTCTTATGCAAATTCCATGGTGTCCATATTCAACTTTATACAGTTTGTAGTTATACATGTGATTGAAAAAGGCGCATATATTTGTGCTTTAATGCTATTTTGCCCCTTATAAATCATAAATTATTATTATCATGTGGACAGCATTGAAGTTTCAAGCGCCCCTTAGTCGGTTGCTTAATTAACTAACGAAACGAAACGGTAGATGAATAACCTGAAATAACCCAAACAATGTTTTAATTAGACCTAAATACAATAGCAGGTGTTTTTCCAATATAAAGAGGGAATTCCGCATTTAAAACGGTGCTGATCCACTCTCCCTAAATATCGCTCAACTTTTTGATGGACTCGAACTAAAGAGGGCACTATGATTGCTTCGCTGTACTTCTGTAGTCTTTTCCCTTTGCTTTCTTGGAAACAAGTGTCAGCCTGTTCTCAAGTGCAGGGTAGGTGTCGATTAAATTAAGTAGCTGAGGAATATAAAGCAACATGATTACTCTTGGCAAATTCAGTAAAAACCCAACTATCTTTTGAAATAGTCTTCCGGTCTGACAATGATTTCAGTTCTAACTTGAAAAAGACAGAGCGAACATTATAGCGTTTCGCTCCTGCCATTAGTTTTCGTATATGCAACTGAGAGATGTACGGGATCAGTCTGTGATCATGATGTCCCCATCTATATAGACTACAACTGAAATTTTAGAGAGTTGGGAATTAAAAAGACCCTTGCATTCCACGGGGTTTTTTACAGACTGAAAAAGTTTCGACAAGAAAGAAGCCGCGTTGTTAAATCCAATCTTTTTTAAGGCACTCGTGTCATGTTTTCTCTCAGTGTATATACTCCGAACTGTCGTATAGGCGGCTTTTAATTCATCAAGTGACTAAGGTTACAAGAATGAGAAACCTTCAGATACGAAACTAATAGAAAACCAACTTTATGACCGAAATTATAACAAAAGGATCCTGTTGAAGACCAAAGAACCAAGTAGCAATGTCTCAGTCTGTTTTTAACGAGATATTTAGTGCGTGTTTCCCTGCTCTGTTGTTGTTTTGCTAGCATTATTTTCAAACTCCGGTTTCAGGTCCATGTCGTGAACTGGCGTTCCCAAGTTTCCTTTTTTTTGCTAACAAGCGCTTGCTGAACCACACAATAAGAGTTTTACAAGTTCAAGATCTAGATGAGTGCGAGTTACGATGTTACCACGAATACAATTGTGTCAGTATTAATTTTAAATTCAAAATGCTTACAAGAGGAAAATACAGCTGTGAATTGAACAATTCAACACATGGCGAGCATGAACGAGACCTTGTACCTGATCAAGATCACTTTTATCGTGGAACCAAAGTAAGATGACAAAAACTTTCGTTATAATCAGTTATTTCTTGCACACGTTTCAAATGTACTGTGTTTTATTTCCATGCAGTTGTTAGAAACGGTGAAGAACCAGAAACGTAAATACTTGTGTTATTGGCTTATATCGTCCTTGTTGTTTTGTACCGGTGGTATAGACGGGACATATCTCTTGGAAAATTAAAATAGCGGGAGTGACCAAAAACGTGACTTCGGGTAAACAAAACTAAACATCAACAAGGCCCAGTAAAGCCGGTTGTTACAGAAGGAAATCAGGCACACATTAAAATAACTTGAGAAATCCCTACTGACAAAACAAATTTAGTGGCCAACTGAAAATTCTAGGGAGACAATGCCGCCTCCCTTGCAAGATTTAAAATCACATCAAGCTTGCTATACTGATTAAGCCGAAGGGTATTACAAAAATTGCATTTATATTTATTGTTTGACTATGATTTTAAAACATCTCCGAAACATAGTGCCTTTCGCTGCGAAAGAGCATTCAAACTTTTTTCTTTCAGAATGCATGCTCCAACTCTCCTTGTCAAAATAACGGAACGTGTCAATCAGGCTTCACCAAGAAAGGATATCGATGTTTGTGTCCTGATGGTTGGACAGGTGGAACATGTAACATGGGTAAGGCTCAAACATGGAGTTCTTCACTAAACACTAAACCATAAGGTTTTCTTAACCTTTTTCCAGACAAGAAAATGTACAAAAAAGCGTGATTCACGTGCAAAGTTCGTTGTTTTGCTAATCTAAACTTATTGATTTTTTGCTGTTCTCGTTGCCGTCGCTTAAGCTCGCAGTTTTCATGTCGACATGAAAAGCTCTCCAGTATTGTATGAAACGCCTGTTCACACTGCACAAAAGAGTGGCATACAGAACCCTATCCGATATGTGACGATCCACTTTCGAGATCGGTGCGGCATTGCTTCACTCCTTTACAGAAGTTGCACCGAAATCACCGTCCTCGCATGTGTGGAAAGAATATATCCAATATGGCTTTTGTGCCTGGTGCAAGAGCTATCAGCGGGGGAGCTATGTAGTATCGTGTAGACCGGTATAGCCTTAAACTCTCATTCACGATTTTATTCACTATCATATCCTAGATATTGATGAATGCGATGAAAAGAGTCACAAGTGTAGCAAGAATGCGACTTGTACAAACAAGAAAGGATCTTACAAATGCAGGTGCAAACATGGTTTCCATGGTGACGGCTACAACTGCACAGGTATCCCAGTGTTTTATCTTTCTGCTTAAAATTTTAAACAGAATAACAACACACTTACTTTTTTTCGTTTGTCGAGTGTCTCAGAATTTTCTCTGGCGAAGAATTGATGTTCATCACAAAATGCTGTAATCTTCAGCAATGGGCAGAGCTGCTGTAAACGTTATTTTTCTATTAGATATTTTATTGTACAGTTAAGCATAATTAGTCACAATCTGTTAAGGGAGCGGTCATTAACTATTGGGGGGAAGAGCCGGTATTATTTCAAAAGCGAGGGCCAAAAAATTTTAGCCCCTCTCAGGTTAACAGCCCAAAACTCCTGCCCCCTCCAAAAATGTGTGCCCAAAAAATTGTAACCCTCCCCTGTAATAACATTTTGAGTATTCAAATGTTGCATCGTGAGAATCCATATGAGCGTAACTTTGAGACAATTTTTTTCATTGGAATAAAAAAAAGTGTTAGTATTCACAACATTTAGAAAACCCAATTTTTTCTTTTTGTTAGTTCAATAACCACACAACAGTTCAATAACCACACCAGCAGTTCAATGACCACACTTTAGGTCATTGAGCGTAAACTACATGTAGCTGCGGAAAAAATAGCCACAACTACGTTAGATATTTTTTTAATTTTAAGTAAGTGATACTCATTTAGCATCGATGCAAGAACTAAATTTACAAATAGTGGTACATTGTTATAAAGTTTTAGTGAGCTCACTAATATAGAACATAGATTGATGCTAATTAAGAAGTTCTAGTCTGCTCAGAAGATCTGTCATTATCATCAGGGGCACAGTGAACAGACCTGGAAAGAGAGTAAGCGCTGAAAAGGGAACGCTAACTCGGTCCGGAGAAAAATTCGGATCTGATACTAGATAAACCGACAGAGTGCGCGTTGATAAAGCAGACAACATAACGGTTAGCGGTGGATGAAACCTTGTTTTAACTCTCTTTCCTCACGTTTCAAACTACTGGTGTGGTTATTGAACTGTTGTGTGGTTATTGAACTGACAAAAAGAAAAAACTTTGTTGGTAAATAAGTAGTGATGGCGGGGCCGATGATGATGATGCCACTGAACGATGTCTGGAGGACGAATCAGGAAGTGCCTTTGATATTCACTCGGGCACTGCAATGGAAGCATACAACAGTAGCAGTTCAGATGACTCTGGCCCTCACTGGAACACATTCAAATGCGCTCCTTACTATCTGCCTATTGACTAATCGTTACATCTTCACTGTACATTTGTATACTGTACATATAAAAAAAGTATGTTAAATTTGTTGAATAAGAAAAACATTCTGTTCCTGTTACTGTTTAAGACTGACTGAGTTTTGTAAAAGAAGGATTGGTATGAACTGGACCACTATGAGTTAAAAAAACAAATACAGATCGAGTACCAGTCATAACAAGAAAAGATACATTTTCAGTTATAATAACATATCATCAACTATCCGTGCACTCTTGATCGGGGTTCGTTTTAAGAAGGGCTTTCATCAAATTATCTGTCATTCAGATGTATTATAATACAGGAAAATCACATGACGGTGACGTTGATTAAACAACAAAGCCAAACTAAAACCATGGGCTGTTTTCAAAGCCATTTCAAAGTCAAGCAAATTGGAAGCGATTCCTCGCGTGAAGTCACTGCTCATCTCCAGCCAATCAGAGTGCTTTTTAACCGTGTGATTCAGCTTTGAGTATGCAATTCTGTTAATATTACTTGCACGGCCATCGTATTTCAAGCAGTGCTTCATATTTCAGTAGCACAAAACCCATTTAATAGTACGCGCACATCGCCCAAAGGCGCCCAGAAAATTTTAGCCCTCCCTAAATGGGCGCCCAAAAAATCGCAGCCCTCCCCCAATAGTTAATGACCGCTACCTAACTAACGTTTTGCATGCGAAAAAGAAGGGAGTTGTGGGAGCTAAATTGAAAGAAAGACCGGTTTTCTAGCTTTCTTTCACTATAAGGGGGGGTGGGGAGGGATCACAAGGGAGGTATAGGAGACTTATTAGGACTAAAAGAATTGATGATATTACAAAATCATTCCAGATACTGACGAATGTCAAAAGCAAAACAACAAGTGTAGCAAAAATGCGACTTGCACGAACACAGACGGATCTTACAGATGCAACTGCAATACTGGCTTCTTTGGAGACGGATTCAAGTGCACAGGTATCACTGTGTTCTGTCTATGGCGTAGATAGTCTAAAGACTTCAGATTCCTGAATCAACTGATTGCGAGCCAATTTTTTAAGGAAGGGAAAACAAAGATGGAAAATAGCATGCCCTGTAAACAGATTTTAGGCAAACTATCAAATGAATAAAGTAGTTTTCGTATCGATTCATGGATGTACGTCATCGATATAAAGCCGCGTTTGAGGCGTCGTTTGAGGCCAAATAGTCTCATGGTAAATAATTTCCAATACCCTGAGCGGCGGAGAACTGACGAGCCCATGTCGTTCCCAGGGTTCTCTCCTACCCGTCCCTGCGGGTAGGAGAGAGAACCTGGGAACGAGGTTGCTGACGAGCGACTATATTCGCAGGCTTAGCAAGAAGTCGTTAAAAGTTTTTTTTTATAACTAATGATCTTCTAATGGTTTATTTCTGATCGGCCTCGAGGAATAAAAAAGCGTCAAGCACAATCGTATCATGGCTAATATAAACTCGCAGGATAACTTCATGACTTCGCTTAGGGTTTTTTCATGCAAATTATTGTTTAAGCTCGCAATCATTTTACACTTTGAACTTTATCCTTTGTTCCCTCTAGTATATTGTTACACCATCTTTGATTTCGAAGACCACGATTTATCAAATTGGACGTTGAATGGGACTGCATTCAATAATCAGCCAACATACGGAGACAACCCATCAGAAAGGTTTAAAAAGGAAGGGGAAGGCAGGAATGAACCGTCAAAACACCAAGGGGATTGGTGGATTGGTACCTTCGAAAACCGGCCCAGTTCTTCCCACCCGGCCGGAGAAATACAAGACGATGATCCTCAAGGCTCAATGACGTCACCCAGTTTCACTACGAGCCTCAGCGCTCCGGAAGTTAAAAAATTCGTACCGTCTGGTTGCTATGAAGTGACGTAATCATCCAGTTGAGTATCCATTCCCGTAACACTTTTGCGGTCAACTACCGCAGCGCTCGTAAAGTACTTTAATTAAAACCGTGTTCAAAACCCTGTAGGAAGTCTGTTTATTTTTGAGTCGATTAATGCACTGCTGACTTTCACGAGGTCAACTTTTGCATAAATTATCAAACATTATGTTAAGCGGGAAATCTACCTATGGTTCGCGGGAGAAGCAACTTCTATAGCGGCGCAAGACAAATGTTTCGAGAGTCGAGGATGTGCTCACAAACTATTCACTATGCGACGAAAGGAGAAATCACTGGCATGATAGCTGCATGTAAAAGTAATTTTATCAATCCAGGTCGCGCCGTGTTCGCTCGAGAACGCTGTGACAACCTCGTTTGGCGCGCTTCTCAATTCTTCCAAAACATGTTGTAATCGGTAAGTAGACTTAAGCACTAAGTATCGCCAAGCCATTCGAATCAGTGTATACCCAATTCTTTGTCTGAAGATTCTCGCCAACACATATACCAAGTAAATCTGGATGGAAGAGGAAATTGTCTCCCTAAACGCAGCCAGATTATATTTTGAAGGATGGCGGCACAATTCAACGCGTCTTCCAGGTCAGCCCTAATTTATAGTTCGTAAGAGAATAAATTGCGATCTCCCTATTAAGCTTTCTTTGATAAAACTTCAGTAGAAACAAAACAACGCAGACATGACATTCTCCTGCATGAGACACAATCGGCTGAAGGAAATATCTCTTTACAAGTCGGGTAAATTATCCATTCTTGCGCACCGCAAAATCAGCTAAAATCAGTCGCTGGAAACCTGGCATATTAGTAAGCCTGAGCGCTTCTAAGAATACCACGTTTAGAACTTCGACGCGTAGGAAAAAAAGGCAGTTGTTCTATATCCTTTCTGGTTCATCCAGGTAGAAGTCCTGGCATGATATAATTATGCCTGAGCGCTTCTAGGATATATAACACGTTTAGCATTTCGACCCGTAGCCGTAAAAAAAATTTAGGCAGTTGTTCTATATCCTTTCTGGTTCATCCAGGTAGTAGTCCTGGCATGATATAGTTATGCCTAAGCGCTTCTAGGATATATAACACGTTTAGCATTTCAACCCGTAGCCGCAAAAAAAAAATTTAGTCAGTTGTTCTATATCCTTTCTGGTTCAGCCAGGTAGAAGTCCTGGCATGATGTTATTATGCCTGAGCGCTTCTGGGATATATAACACGTTTAGCATTTCGACCCGTAGCCGAAAAAAAGAAATTAGGCTGTTGTTCTATATCCTTTCTGGTTCACCCAGGTAGAAGTCCTGGCATGATGTTATTATGCCTGAGCGCTTCTGGGATATATAACACGTTTAGCATTTCGATCCGTAGCCGAAAAAAAGAAATTAGGCTGTTGTTCTATATCCTTTCTGGTTCACCCAGGTAGAAGTCCTGGCATTATGTTATTATGCCTGAGCGCTTCTGGGATATATAACACGTTTAGCATTTCGACCCGTAGCCGAAAAAAAGAAATTAGGCTGTTGTTCTATATCCTTTCTGGTTCACCCAGGTAGAAGTCCTGGCATGATGTTATTATGCCTGAGCGCTTCTGGGATATATAACACGTTTAGCGTTTCGACCCGTAAAAAAAAAAAAATTAAGCTGTTGTTCTATATCCTTTCTGGTTCATCCAGGTAGAAGTCCTGGCATGATGTTATTATGCCTGAGCGCTTCTGGGATATATAACACGTTGGCAATGAAATCGACCGCAGACTTTAAAATGTTCTTTTTAGAAGGCACTGAATTATTTTTTCCGGACATTTTGTTTGATACCGCATTTTTAATTAATTTTATTTGTTGCCCCAGGATGATGACATGATTGCGTGAAAATTGACGCCTCTATCACATTAGATGCGAAATACGATCAGAGATTAGGGGAATAGGGAATGTTGCAAGCTACTGGGTATCCAGCTGAGATAGCTGACTTTTACTCAGCTATCTCAGCTGGATACTGAGGGGTTTTTTTGGTTGCTAAGACCGTGCAGCTCGTTATGAGTTAATTGATACAAACTTCCTCACATTCCTGATTGGAGCAGGCTGTCAAAATTTCGAGACTCGTGCTGAGCTTATAGTTGACGGAGGTTTGATTTTTAACACAAAAGCTGAAAAGGGATCTACGGATTGCATCGAAACTATGTATGAAAAAAGCTGGAATGTGTCGCGATTCACTGGTAGCCGAGCTCAATTGCGTTTGATTGACCACGCTTCAGGACACTGGGGTCACATTAACTTTGATCATTTACAAGCTTGCCACAAACTACCTTCAAACAGTACAGCGGATCCTCAGCAGAATTAATCTTAAAATCAGTAAACAGTCGAATGATAAAAAAAAAAAACTGACCCAGCTCTGAAACCGTAAGTTTGTTAGCCATTTTCAATGACACTGGTCCCATTGCGTAGTCACGTTTGTTCTTTTCTATTCAAGTAATTTTTACCAGGACGTAGCTATAGTAGACTCTGGTAAGAGAAAATGATTCGTATACCTTCAGAAATTCCGCTACCTCGAATTCTTTATTAATTTACAGATACGTTTTAGCCTACGAAGTGTTTGTTATAATAAAACTTGCAATTTTTCAGTTTAAAATTATACCTAAAATACTGAAAAATCATTGCGCGGACTTCTTTTAGATAATTTAAAATCGGATACTTATGTTGACACACCCATAGATAAATTTAGAAAGCTGCTATGACCGATTTAAATTTAGTTCGTAATTTTGTAATCTTGCATTACATTGTTTTTCTCGTATTTTGATAGTTTTGTTTTAAATTTCTTTCTTTTTTTTGTCCCAGTGAATGTGTACTTTACGTTTTCCTCTGGCTTTCTCGATAAGCTTAACTATCTGCGAGGCAGAGGATATTTAAATTTGTATTTACATAAGCGAATGAATAAATAATGAATAAATAAACTTTAGGAATAGTGTAAGTGCTGGTACTGTATTTCAATAACATAGTTGCCGTTCCGGTGTTAGAGCATTATATAAAAAAATAATAATAAAGAAACGATCAAACAGACAAGCAATGCAAAGAAACTTTGGGAACTAAGTTAAAGTGTGGTGGTGCGGTACTGTATTTTCCCTAAAATGTATTGCTGTGGCCGCGCTTGAAACGTTAAAAGTAAACTGTGGATGATCTTCTTTTATATAATTCTTCACCCCGCAGTTCTCATATATGATTTTCATATATTCATAACTTCATCATCATCCTTTCACGGGTTTAATACGAACCAATTCAACGACACGCTCTGAGTTGGCTTGTTAGCTCAATTGTCAAAGGTTCGAATCCTGTACAAGCCTGAATTTTTTCAAGCTTTCTTTTCGCATCTGCAAAAGCTGCGTCTATAACTGCGATGATCTTCTTTCATGTAAAACTTATTTTTGTGGCGTTTCGCTCAAGCATTTGCCTGTTTGTTTTGTCCGGAAGGATCACCCTGTTTTCATAAATTTCTAGTCAATGCCCCGACCTCCTCATCTTTACATTGTAAAATTGCGCACTCAACTTTATTTTGCTTCCAATTTTAAGCCAATGGAATTTGAAAACTATAGACTAGGCCCCTTTGATTATGGGCTCCATGGGCTTAATTCAAAATTTGGCAACAACGTTTTTCTTGTTCTTTTAGATCCCCTGAAATTCAACTTGCTAAATGGCTTGCTCTCTTCACGAAATGTCTACGGGAGTATACATGCTCTCGGACTATCCTGGTTTTGTAACTTGTTTCCATACCAAATGTCATATATAAAATGCAAAATAGTAATTGTTCAGCCCTCTAGCCAGTCCGTTTTTTTTTTGTTCGTTTACACTTTTACCGCATTATGGGATCTTAAATTATAATTGAAACATTTCAATTATGTCGGGCCGTACGAGTAACATTTTCCTCTTAACCTTTTTTGTTCGCCTTGGTTTATTTTGTTTGATTCAGGCTTGTTTGTTTGCCAGAGCAAACAGATTAGCAATTTTACCAATTTTTGGCCCCTTGTTCAAATAACTTCACCTTGACCACATGTAGGTTTCAGAGCTGCCTCTGCGTGTGAATTTGTAAAACGACAACAATTTGATCATCACTCGGTATGAATGAGTTGGCTTTCAAAAGTCTTTTCTTTTTCTTCCGCTCTTTACACTCTTTTCCATGTAAATTCACTTTATGAATGTTTCCAAAGAAAATTTTCGCGTTATGACCTATTTACAAGTTGGCTTATAGCAACCTTGATTTATCCCTTTGCTTCTAATCCGATTTAATGGCCCACTCACCCTGCTAACAAAGCCTTTCCTTTACTTGGTCTCGATTTTTGCATACTAGAGAAAGACTCGAGTAAGCATGAATCGAGTAAGATCTTTTTTGAGCAAGTAGCTGCTTGTTGCTTGGACCCCGTTTTGAACCCAGGCCTAATGAAGCCGTGCGCTTAGTTCAGCGGGCTCAGTTATAACCACTGGATTATCAACAAACGGATACTCGCACTCGGAAAATAAGTTTGACCACACAGACAGGTCCAGAAGTTCAAGCATGGGCGAATTCAAAGGGTTGACACAATTCAGACAGAGCCTCATTGTTCTCTTTCTCACTCAAGAAGACCGAAGAGACTCCGCTTGCAGGGTGTGGCCCACTTTGAAAGAAGAGTTTTGTTTTCAGAAAGATATTACGACACAAAAAAATCGCAAATATTAAAATTGCTCGAAAGTATCGGAAGGTACCAATCAGGTAATACCACCACTGCACTGAATTGACTGCTACCCTTAACACAGTTATTTGTCTAAAAGTATTCTAAAAATAAGAGGCGACAGTTTCCGCGTGATATCGCCTGTATTCTCACGCTTACAATCTCTATGAATTGCTGGCGACATAAATATTTATCAAATAACCCACTTTATACATGTACTATAGGGCAGTGGCACGGAAAATAGGGAACCATCTTTTACACCGAAGATTTGTAAGCTATATTATATTGGGATGGAGTCCTGGAGAAATTTTTTTTGGTTATGTTTCTGTCTTTTTACAAGAGAAGCTCTTAAGGCCCGAGTCCAGTCCCCAAAGCAGACTATCCGGATATTGCAGTTCCAATGCCTCTTTGACTTGAAGTCCATGCTGCTGATCCCGAACTTCCACTACAACTTTGATCTGTCACAACAAAGAAATACAAGTTTTAAAGTGTTAAATTGCACTCAAAAGAGTGAATAAACACAGATAAGACTGTAACCACTCACCTGTACGCTGAACACACTCGACATAAGCCACGCCCGTTCATGAAAAATATCTTTTACGCTAAAATTAAATTGAGAGAATAAGAACACTTCGTTGTTGTTGAGATAAAAAGACACAAAACAGTGATCACTAGATGACTATTCTTGCAATAAAAGAGAACAAGCGACGAAAAAAGATTTTAAAAACAGGCGATCATACGGTAACCACTGTTGATTGCAAACCGGGAGGTTGGAAGAAAGGAGTGGGGGAAAGGGGATCGGAGAACGGTGAAAAATGATACCGGAAAAGGTTAAACGGCATATTGTTGGCGGGATCGTTGGTGACGTAAGAAATGCGCAAGTTTTTTTCTTCCAAACTAGGGTCTGATAACTACAAGCAAAAAATTAAAAGAAATCAAACTGTATGAAATGTAATCTACTTGCATTCTAGCAGCACTAGCTTTTTTTTTTTCCAACTGTCAAAAAACCGAAACCAAACGAAAACTGTGGTTGTCTCCTCCGAATAGGAGGATTTCTTTCATAAACAAATAAACTCACAACAAATATAAATTATTCTCTCTTCCCAGCATTCCCCTCGCGCTTTCCCCTGTCCCTTGCCCGCGCGTTTTAGAGCCAATTGAGACACAAACGGCCATCCTAATTCCTGAGGTCTCTCTGAGGCAAAGGAACTTCAGAAAAAAAAAAGCCATGCTGGGAAGGAAGTTAGAGAGAGGCTTCTACGGGAGACTACGGTGAACCAATCAGAAGTGAGGTAAAAACAGGCAGCTGACGCAAAGCGCTGGAAACTGTCTAAATGGGGAGAGATAATTTTTGACTTGGCGAAAAAAATTCAGCCAATCACAAACACGGTAAGTATTAAAGAAACCAGTTTTCAGAAAATCGCTTAATATAAGTTTAGGTTACCTTGCTCCCATTGAAGCCAACAGCCTTGTTAGTTCTGCAATTCCTCCTGGTCTATCATTGACGGTGACGATAAATCTACAGAGCCTTCCATCGGCGGCTAAACCGCGATCAATACAGCGACCTAGCACTGTGGAGTCGATATTCCCTCCACACAGTGGTATAACTACCCTAGGGAAGACGTTTGATTTAAAATCAGACGAATAACTTGTCACTATGAGGCACCCTTAAATTCTCATTAAAAGTTTGCAGAGTGACCATTAAAGATGGAAAACAAGTAATAAAAATGTTGCTTAAGCTGAGAAACCTCCAACACGTAGTTAACTTTTTTCAGCAGCAATCTTTCATCACACAATAAAACGATTTTTCCCTGCGACCTTACACTTAGCTTGAGGTTTGATTTACCAATTCTCTAACAACAACTGGCCAGAGTAAAAAGATTCCAAAACTGACACTTTAGTCCCTAGATCTTTAGTCAAGGAGAATCCTTTAGAGCGCTGTCACAAGGGTCTGGCGCCCGAAACATTTACACTTATTCTGTAACCTTAGTTGATCATACTACTTTTCTATGTGCCACTCCTAAAACAACACACACAGATTAAGGTAAAACCAGAAGTCAACATACAAACACTTCCCTACATAAAGATAGACAACATCGTTCAAAAAGCTTATCCAAATGTTTGAGACAAAGCCTGAAATACTCCAGGAAAAGATAAGACCTTGGACGGGATATGAACTTGCAGTTTATGTTGTTTGAGCAATCAGCAATATATCCTTCTAATGCAAAAGGGTGAAACGCGAGTATTAGTGTTGACACTATAATGCTCATTTTTAGCAAACCGGTTGTAGCTCTAACGATAGAACTATGCTGTCAATAATTAATGCGCCCATATTACTGCCACGATCTTTCATTGATTTAATTTCGGAAACTCAATATACGATCTGTTGTACATTTACCGTAATATCATTTATCCACCTACTTTTTAGCCTGTAGCTCGGGCAACATTTCAGCCAGAACAGCAGCAAAGGCAGTCACTCCGGCGCCTTTCAACGACTGCTTTCTCTTCCTCAATCAGACGCAAAATGGCAAGGGCAATGAAGTCCTCACTGAAATAACAAGGTTAATTTCGGTTTCTACGCAAGAGACATGACGACATGACTTTCCCGAGAACAAGAGATTCATAGAGCTCTAAGAAAAAAAATAAATAACCACTGAGATTTTATGCTACGCTGGATTTTAGACCTTACTTACTGACTTAATATAAGCCTTAATGTATTCACACCGAGCAACTGTACTTATCAAAAGCTCTCCCAGTGCTGGACACGCCCGGACCAGTGCCATTTCTGCCTAGACATCTGTGCACGCGAAGAACCAAATTGTTTGCAGGGCGAAAAAAACCCCAAGGTTCGTAATACAAATCTCTGGCAGTCACTACCCCTTGTATGCCGCCTTGATCATGATCCGGGCCTCAGTTGTTCAGAAGGTGGATAAAGCTATTCACCGAAGGTAAAACTCTGTCGAGTGGATAGCGCAGTTGGTCTCCCTAGTGGTTTCCCTGGAGATTAATCCGGCGGATAGCGCTATGCATCTTTTGAACATCTGGGGCCAGGACTGATTAAAGTAAGTGAGCGCCCAAAAAAGTGTTGTTAATTAGTGTAAGGGCCACCATGATGAATTAAAGCGTGTGTTTATTTTACAAACCTTTGCGGCGGTTTCCAATACTACTGAGGCGTTATCCGTCAGTAAAAGGATCACCTCTTGATCCTCCTTTATGACTGCTTGTAAACAAAGTATCAAAGTGCATGAAAGTTGGTGTTCCTGTGAATCTTACCTGACACTTATTACTTTATCAACCATCCCTGTGGCAGTTGCAAAGGCGTTGGAGCCAACCTTGGACACACACAGCCCTACAGAGGACATGTAAGGAAAAAAGTCACAATAGAGTATAAAAACGGTTTAAATCTGTGACACAATAAACTAACATAGAAACAAATCATAGGGCTGTGCCTTAGCTGCACCCAACGGCCTCTGATGTCTTAATTAGTTTTGTTCTTGGGCGGCTAGGAAATCTTAGTTGTTTCATAAAAATCCTATGCTAGGTGGCACCTTGGATTTCCCACGTTCAGCGCACCAGGCTCTCTTCACGTTTTCCTACAGTACAGTCTTAAATAGGATTTTAAAACTACAGAGGGAAAGAAAATACAGACAAAAAAGCTAAAATAGTGAAGAGATGTAAATAAGGACTTTATAACCATAACCACTGCCCACCTTGTTAAGCTTTTGCTATTTGCGGCCAGACAACAAACTCACTGATTGTATCTAACACTGATTAATAGCAAAGAAAATCAATCCGCGAATTTCAATTTCATCGCTCTTTTCGTGAAAGTAGAAATTATATTGAAGAGCTCAGCATTGTGTATTACCCAGATTGGTTCTGATTCATTATCATGTTTTCCAGATCGCGAAGCGGTGCCTGCTTCCAGCGGTTTGAGCTGGTTTGGATAAAGTATGTAAGTGACATTTTTTTAAAAAGAGTAAATGGGAAAAATATCTGCAAACAACTAAGAAGGAAATTTTCTCAGACGTCCTAGGTTCACGGATAAACTATTACCTTTTTTGTATTAATTCCAAAATATCTCAAAATTTCCTGCATTGAATTTTGTGAAACTTCTCTTAGCAGACGCCGGCCAATGTATACGTAGGGTTAAGCATTTTCAGAGAACTAACGGATAAGGGCTAAAATTCAATACAGAGCTGAAACAAGACGTCCTTGTCGAGCGATCAATATGTATTCTAATCTCAAAATATGGGGCAGTCTATGTGTAATCGATGTAAAACAAAGATGAAGCCGGTTTGGTATAAGAGGCTCAAAGGTGGAAGGCTGCATACAAAAATACTGGTCGAACCAGTCGAAGCACTTTAAAACTGAGGGCGTGTCATTCAAATGAAACCTTGCTATCTCTTTTTCAGCATTTTACGATTTTGCATCAGCTTGGAACTCTTACAAAACTATCTTGGGAGCAGAAGAGGTCATGTTAAGAGATCTATACAGAAAGGACAGAGCCTTACCACCGGCTAATGTCAGAGACTGATTGGCTTCTATTTTAACTGGATGACCAGCAGGCATTGCGGCCTGAAAGCTGGCGCAGCGTTCTGATTCAACTCCCTGTAGAGAAATAGACACGATTAATGCTGGTAACTAAACGACGCTTGAATGTAATATACAGGAAAATCCCCCTTGCTACAACCAGTTGCAAAAGTACTTGAGACACTGTACCGTATTTTGGCATAAATGGCCTGTCCATGATCTTGTGCTTATGATCCCCCCTCCACCCCTTATCAAAGTTGCTAGCAATACAAGACCATACTCAAAACTTAGAGGAACAACTTTGAATGGGAGGGAGGAGGGAGGTCAGTATTATATTTTACAGACCTGTGACCAAGAGCGATTTGAAGCGAGAAAGGTCGTTTTTCCGTGGGAGTATCTCATCATTTTTGCAACTGGTTGTCTGAGTCCTCCATACCCCTATAGCCGTGGTGCACGATTATTAAACGGGGTAAAACGTGGTGCACTCTTAGCATCTAAGGAGGTGGTTATAAAAAACACTATTTCATTTTTGTCGGTTTGCCTGTTTAAAAATGGCGAGACAAAAACGGCAGTTGTTGGCCCTTTTGTTTATGTGGTAATATGCAAGAAATTGGGCTTTTAAAGGAAGCACGTGGCAAAAGATGCCACACCATCTTAAGTAAGCTGCAACGAAAGGGGGTTTTGGTCCTAAAACGCTACAGAGATGCGAAAAATAAGATATTTTCTTCGAACTCAGTTAAAAGATGTTTATTTATGGAAGGAAAGTGACGTAAGATGCCCCGCTGGATCAAGGAGATAGAAGTTTTGTTATTGTTTCCGATAAGTACGTGGACGTGGTATGAAAATGAAGAAGTGGCTGACTAATTCTCAGTTTGAATTACGAGAAGAATCTTAAAAAAAATATTTTCTTTGAAAAAATCTATCGAGCGGTTTAAAATTATTCGCTAATTTATAAAAAGAGACCGAAATGTTTACAAAACCGCTACCAAGAGTGTCTCGATACATACTAATCAAATCCTTCTTTCGATTCTAGCAATCAAGCAGAGCTATCTCCACGATCTTTCACACATGTTTTTAAAAAGATTAAAACTACTATGAGGTGAAATTGCAGGACAAAAGCGCTTCGTTTTCTACAGATAACGGCCAAAAATCAAGATTTTTCTTTGCCGTATTTCTAATGATAAAAACTTCATTGCAAAATATCTCGATAACGCTCCTAAGGTTTTGGTTAAACTTCACGAACATCGAGGCGACCGTATTCAGTTATAATAACATATCAACTATCCGTGCACTTTTGATCGCGGTTCGTTGTAAGAAGGGCTTTCATGAAATTATCTAACATTCAGATGTATTACTAGTAACAGTTGACACTACAGCTTCCCCCGCTCTGTGTATAGTATTCTTGCTCCTTGTGTAGCTCTTTGAAATATACCGATTCATAATGAAGATGTTCACATATTCCATGCAATAGGTGAGATAAATACAGGAAACGCAAGGTTCCATGCACCAGTTTCGGTTTGATTTACACAGCTTTGATCAAAACATTCTCATTTTCGAGAATAGTTTATTCTAAACCATAAGAAAAGATTTAATTAGAAGTTTAATTTTTCGCTATTTCTATTTCACTTTTTACATTTAGTTCATTTTATTTGCCGGAAAGTAAGCCTCAGAAATTAAAAGAACGTTTGATCAAAATTCACGCTCGCGCATTCTAGTCTTATTTTAAACTTTATAGCGGAAGGACATCTGTGAGCAGGGAATAAGTCAGCACAGAATTTGAACGTCGGCGAATTCCTGTAATCGTCCACAGCAACCTCGTTCCCAGGGTTCTCTCCTACCCGCCCTATGGGGCGGGTAGGAGAGAACCCTGGGAACGAGGATGCGTCCACAGTTCTGCTAGTGATAAGCTAGCCGTTGAATCATTCACTCGTCTTGCTTGTTTTGGGCCGAGTCTTATTCCGGTCAAAGAGAGAGTGTCTGGCGAGGTTCAGCTGAAGGTTTTCAGTCAAAGATTTGAGAACTTGTGTCTGGCAAACTCACTTAGTGTTAAAATATACACTGTTCTACGCGCCTTATAACTTCATCTGCGCTTAACAAGTGTCTTCTGGTCCATAACTTTCATAACAGCTGCTCCACAGAATGTCACTGATAACACGTAGCGCAAAAGAGTATCGAAGTACGACTGCACAATTAATGTCACAAAATCTACCTATTGTAAGCTTTTTGTGTTTTACGTCATCCTAACCATTTCGTACTTGCGGGCACAAACAATAGAAACGTCATCATTACCTACCGATTCCTCGCGGCCCCTGTTCAAGCAAATCGAGATTTTTTCTATATTGACTGTATGACTGTATATTTCAACTGTAAGTACTTTCCTTAATATACGCGCGAGTTACTAGAGTGCCTCCTCGGGATTTCGCCTTCTGGGCGAAATCCCTGCGGGGGCAATAATACAGGAAAATCACATGACGATGACGTTGATTAAACAACAAAGCCAAACTAAAACCATTGGCTGTTTTCAAAGCCATTTCAAAGTCAAGCAAATTGGAAGCGATTCTGCGTTAAGTCACTGCTCATCTCCAGCCAATCAGAGTGCTTTTTAACCGTGCGATTCAGCTTTGAGTATGCAATTCTGTTAATATTACTTGCACGGCCATCATATTTCAAGCAGTGCTTAATATTTCAGTAGCACAAAACCCATTTAATAGTACGCGCACATCGCCTAAAGGCGCCCAGAAATTTTAATCCTCCCCTAAATGCGGGAACAGAAAATTTTAACCCTCCCTAAATGGGCGCCCAAAAAATCGCAGCCCTCCCCCAAAATTAACCAGCCCCTCACCCAATAGTTAATGACCGCTCCCTAACTAACGTTTTGCATGCGAAAATGAAGGGAGTTGTGGGAGCTAAATTGAAAGAAAGACCGGTTTTCCACCTTTCTTTCACTATAAAGGGGGGGGGATCACAAGGGAGGTATAGGAGACTTATTGGGACTAAAAGAATTGATGATATTACAAAATCATTCTAGATATTGACGAATGTCAAAAGCAAAACAACACGTGTAGCAAAAATGCGACTTGCACGAACACAGACGGATCTTACGGATGCATCTGCAATACTGGCTTCTTTGGAGACGGATTCAAGTGCACAGGTATCACTGTGTTCTATCTATGGCGTAGATGGTCTAAAGAGTTCAGATTCCTGAATCAAGTGATTGCGAGCCAATTTTTTAAGGAAGGGAAAACAAAGATAGAAAATAGCATGCCCTGTAAACGGATTTTAGGCAGACTATCAAATGAATGAAGTAGTTTTCGTATCGATTCATGGATGCACGTCATCGATAAAGCCGGTGTTTGAGGTGCCGTTTGAGGCCAAATAGTCTCATCGTAAATAATCTCCAATATCCTGATCGGCGGAGAGAAACTGACGAGCCAAAGTCGTTCCCAGGGTTCTCTTCTACCCGTACCTGCGGGTAGGAGAGAGAACTTGGGAACGAGGTCGCCGACGAGCGACCATGTTCGAAGGCTTAGCAAGAAGTCGTTGAAAGTTTTTTTTAAAAAATTAATGATCTTCTAATGGTTTATTTCTGATCGACCTCGAATCGAATAACAAAAAAGCGTCAAGCACAATCATATGATCATGGCTAACTAACTCGTAGGATAACGTCATGACTTCTCTCAGCGTACTTTCATGCAAATTGTTGTTTAAGCTCACAAGCACTTCACACTGTGAACTTTATTCTTTCTTCCCTTTAGTATGTTACACCATCTTTGATTTCGAAGACCACGATTTATCAAATCGGACGTTGAATGGGACTGCATTCAGTAATCAGCCAACATACGGAGACAACCCATCAGAGAGGTTAAAAAATGATCCAACCCGGAAAGAACCGTCAAAACACCAAGGGCATTGGTGGATTGGCACCTACGAAAATCGGTCTAGTCCTTCTCACCCGGCCGGAGAAAAACAAGACGATGAACCTCAAGGCTCAATGACGTCACCCGGTTTTTTAATTGATGCAAACTTTCTCACGTTCCTGATTGGAGCAGGCTGTCAAAATTTCGAGACTCGTGCTGAGCTTATAGTTGACGGGGATGTGGTTTTTGAAACGAACGCCGAAAGGCATCATCATCCGTGCATGGAAACTATGTTTGAGAAAAAGTGGAACGTGTCGGGACTCACTGGTAGACAAGCTCAATTGCGTTTGATTGACCACTCTTCGGGAGACTGGGGTCACATTAACTTTGATCATTTACAAGCTTGCCACAAACTACCTTAAAACAGTATAGCGGATCCTCAGCAGAATTAATCTTAAAATCAGTAAACAGTTGAATGGAAAGAAACGAACTGACTCAGCTCTGAAACCGTAAGTTTGTTAGCCATTTCCAATGACACTGGTCCCATTGCGTAGTCACGTTTGTTCTTTTCTATTCAAGTAATTTTTACCAGGACGTACGTAGCAGACTCTGATAAAAGAAATTGACTCGTATACCTTCAGAAATTCTGTTACCTCGAATTCTCTCTTTACAGATACATTTTAGCCTGAAGAGTGTTTGTTATAATAAAACTTGCAATTTTTCAGTTTGAAATCATACCGTAAAATACTGAAAAATAATTGCAGGGACTTCTTTTAGATATTTTAAAATCGGATACTTATGCTGGCACACCCAAAGATAAATTTAGAAAGCTGCTATGACTGATTTAAATTTAGTTCGTAATTTTGTAATCTTGCAATACATTGTTTTTCTCGTATTTTGATAGTTTTGTTTTAAATTTCTTAATTTTTTTTGTCCTAGTAAATGTGTACTTTACGTTTCCCTCTAGCCTCCTCGATAAGCTTAACTATCTGCGAGGCAGAGGATATTTAAATTTGTATTTGCATGAGCGAATGAATGAATAAATGAATAAATAAACTTTAGGAATAGTGTAAGTGCTGGTACTGTACTTCAATAACATAGTTGCCGTGGTGTTAGAGCATTATAAAAAAAAAAGAAAAAGAAACAATCAAACAGACAAGCAATGCAAAGAAACTTTTGGAACTAAGTTAAAGTGTGGTGGAACGGTACTGTATTTTCCCGAAAATGTATTGCTGTGGCCGGGCTTGAAGCGTTAAAAGTAAACTGTGGATGATCTTCTTTTATATAATTCTTCACTCCGCAGTTCTCATATATGGTAGCTTATGGTCTTATGGTTTTCATATATTCACAACTTCATCATCATCCTTTCACGGGTTTAATACGAACCAATTCAACGACCTGCTCTGAGTTGGCTTGTTAGCTCAATTGTCAAAGGTTCGAATCCTGTACAAGCCTGAATTTTTTCAAGCTTTCTTTTCGCAACTGCAAAAGTTGCGTAACTATAACTGCGATGATCTTCTTTCATGTAAAAATTATTTTTGTGGCGTTTCGCTGAAGCATTTGCTTGTTTGTTTCGTCCGGAAGGATCACCCTGTTTTCATAAATTTCTAGTCAATGCCCCAACCTCCTGATCCTTACACTGGGAAATTGTGCACACAACTTTATTTTCCTTCCAATTTTAAGCCAATGGAATTTGGGGAAATCTGTAGATTAAGCCCCTTTGATTATGGGCTCTCTGGACTTATTTCAAAATTTGGATTTCTTCTAAAGTTTACGTGTTAATCGTCGTCATCATCATCATCATCATCATCATTATCATTCGTATTGTCATTATAACCACCATCACCAACACTAAAGATTGCGAGGCCGGATGTGGTAGTTGCCTGTTTCGAAGGTCAGTGAAAGATCATACCAGTACTGTAATCAAAGAGCTGGGCACAATCTCAATGTGAGAATCCACAAAGCTATCTTGCGGGCCAACTGCCAATTGACTGTCACGTCAGTGTTCGCCAGATATCTGCATTGTTACGAACATCACACATCTTGAAGAAAACGTTTTCATTTGAACTTTAGATCGGCAATGGCAGATCATTGACATCAGGCCCACTGTGATAAGTACTACTGCTCATAACATTGTGAACTCTGTCAATAACAAGCTAAAAAGATCTCTTCATTCAAAAAACATACACATGACGTCTCCTCCCGCTTTTATCACAGAGGGACTGGAGGGGGTGCTAAACGTTTTTATAAGGAAGTTTAGGGGGGTCAATAGTTTGATCGCCCCCCCCCTTCCCCTTCTACATGAATAATGACCGGTCCCTCAATCGTTGGGTGACATCCAAAAAACGGCGGCCGCGCGGGCGAGGCAGAGTGAGTTACCGATAACACCAGAGATAGATGGGTAAAAAAAACAGCTAATTAATGCATTTGCCTTCGCCCTTATTTACTGTAAATGTCCTACAGAAAATGCAGGAGATAGCATTTACGAGACCATAGATTTAAAAATTTTCTGGGGGAGCATGCCCCCAGACGGACTCCCCCAGCTGGTTTAAGGCGCCTTGGGCGCGCTAACGTTTCTTCCCTTGCACGCTCCTTCAAAATCTCACGCTACGTTGCCGACTACCGGTATCTTGAAATCAATGTCCAAGGATGGAAGAATAGACTTGGTCTAGAAGGGGTTGGAGGGGGCGGTACATTTTAAAAATTGCTATCGCCAATTGGGGTACAATTTTCACATGTACTTATTTTTTGGGGGGGGGTAAGGTTTTCATACACAACACTTTTCTGAAATCTGCCCCCGGGACGTAATAAGCGAGCGGTCCCTTAGGAAGCCTCAAGACCTTGTACCCAGATCCTCTCACTCTTTATCTTGGCCGCCATTTTGAATAAATTTCCACTTTCCGTGGACAAATCAGTCACGTGATTTCTGCTGTGTGTCAGGATCTTCTCTCCGGCCGCCGCCATATTAGAAAGCGAGAAGACCCTGGGACCGAGGTTGATAATGTAAATAATTTATTATAATAAATAAATAATTAATTAATTAGCGATTTAGAGGTAGCTTATCCTCTTAGAGGTTCTTCGTCTACACCTAATTCCTGGTCGAAAGGGGAAAGGCGCATTCGCAAAAACGTTCCACGGTTCTGAGTTTTCGTACTTCTCGCAGAGCATACAATTTTGAGTGTGGCTAAAATTGATAAAGACGAACTTCGAAGGATGATCATTCTTAAAGGTCGTCGGTAAGCCATGTAAAGGACGTTAATATGAAAAGAAACTCAAGGTGAAGAAAGAAAAGCACGTTTCAAATCGCTTACAGTAATTTTTTTGCTCGGTAAACTCTACAATATCAACAAAGATGGCGATTTCGCCCAGTGGTCCAAGGCTGTGCCTCAGCTCTTAATCGACGCCAACAAAAAGGGGTGGGTCTATTGTGGTAAGTGAAACGCATTCACGGTTCATTAGCGCTAGTATTTTAGACTTTTATCAGTCTCATCATCCGCAGGCGAGGAAACCACGCTGTTCACATTGTAAAGTCCAAGTGTCGATAAATAACAAGTTCTTATGAGCTCTGTTGTCATCATTTCTTCTTTGACTTCGAGTCCAGCATTGTAATGAAGTTATTTTTTCATATTCTGGATACAGTTCTCGTTCTGCTTTAATCCGGCCTTTCATTTTGAAGCAAGGTGTAGGCTGGGATTGATTAAAGTGTATAAGACAGAAATTTTTTTATTTGCTTGATAGAATCTATACAGTGTTTTGATAAGGAAAGGAAAAAAATTTTTCGATAGCGATTTTTCTTCCCCGTGTTTCAACCTGCCAAAAACGTGAAATTTCACTTCCGGTGAGCTACAAAACCGCGCCAGCGAAAACAGAACACTGGGAATGATTGTGCCGTCATTTCAGGACATTCTATTTCGCGGTCTGGTCATTTCTTCGTATGACAACATTGTTAGTTATACGCAAAGAAATGGTACAAAAGTGTGTTATATATGTATGTCGGTGCTGCTGCAAATGAGCTACGGGACAAAACACCGCTACCGATGAACAGCATGTTGCAAAAAGAAGACAGAAAGGTGGCAGTGGAAGGACGGCAGGCCAGGCAGAAAATGGAAGTGGTCAATGTTCCACCAACTACTCCATGTAAGTTGTATGTATTGAGTATGTATTAGTAGGGAAACAATGCTATCATAATCATGGCTGTGTTCTAAGACAAATTGAAGAAAGCCCAGTGCCCTGAACCTGTGTATATAAAGAATGCCTAGCATAATATTATAATCTCTAAGATATTCTTGTCGCCGTAGAGCAGAAGTTATGTGCTAGGTGTCACCATGTGCTGTTAGAACACAGCCCTATCTGAGGCTAGCTGAGCCTTCTGCCCCTCTCAAGTCACTTTTTTCTTTGGAAAATCTTTTTTCTGGACATCCAGGGATTTTTATTGTTATCAATATTACTGTTATAATCAAGAAAATGACAAATATGGCCATTAGAGCAACATATTACATCTTTTGTTGTAGAAATAGGAACTGGGATAGGCCAGATTTAATGCAATTTTGATTTCTTTTTTTTTTTTGGCTTTTGTTTTGTTTTTGTTTTTGTTTTTTTCTTTTTAATAATCCAATCTCAAGAAGCATTTGTAAATTGCCTATACGTGGCGAGATTTACAATTGTACATTTAAAAACAAAAATAAAGTTTCCATTATTATTATTATTATTATTGTTGTTATTATTATTGTTATTGGTACATATTATTATCATTTTATCACCGCCGTTCTGAATGAGGTGGAAATCAGTCCCGAATGTATTGCATTGCATCCAGGTTTCAGTGTCGTTTGCCTTAACAGATGGTCTCTCCGATCAGCTGCAAGTAAATACAAAAGGATAGACGGTACAAAGTATCGTCAGACTGATACAGAAGAAAAGTGAATAATGTTTTGCCCAGTTTTTTCTTTCAGAACTATCTCTAATTGCTAATTTACTGTGTTCTCCAAAAGCAACGTTAGCCGGCAAAAGCGCCCTACAGTTGCAACAGAAGCAGTGGCTATTTGTTCAAACACAATTTTAAGAGAAAGATAATCAACCGATTGTTTTTGTCGCCTATTATTCTGTATAATAGAGAGATTTTACCTGACCCATGAAACAGACAATAAACAGCTACAATTTAGAAGACAATAGAAATAATGCATGATAGAGTGTACCATTCAACTACCTGTTTAATCCTTTGAGTAGAATCACTATATTACAAAAAACATATGATAAAGAATAAAGCAAAATGTACTTTGCAGAACCCCTAAAATCAAACTTTTCTCTGGGCTTGTGTGTGTGTGTATGTGTGTTAGCCATCGTAAGCCCATATTGTAATTGTATTATCAAGACTAGTTTATCCTAAGTTGAGGAGACCTGACTCATTATAAGCCTCGTGGTTTCT